TCGGTGGGATGGTAATTCAGGCTCCAAGTTTTCAGATCTTCTGACTTTCTGTGAGAAACTAGAAAAGCACATAGATTTTAGGCAAAATTTCCTGAAATTACATCTTAACAATAACTCATTCTTTGGAAAACAGTGTGAGTTAAACAGCACCAGTTTGCAGATAGGTCATAGCCAATTTCGTAACTGTGATAGTAGCTAAAGTGTAGTTCACCAGTTGGAATGGGAGGCTCTATTCCTTAAAATCAAATGCAAAAACTAGTTAGAAAAGCTCTTGGTCTGTGAAAGTGTGGGTACCCTGGGGATTTCCTCTAGAGTACTCAAGTAATTTACAGTCTGGTTGTAGGCCTTTGTGTCACTCTAGGAAGCCATTAGTGATATGGGACACTATCCTTTTTGAATCCCACTCTGTTCAGTTCTGTGCATATCCCACTAAGAAGTCCCATTTCAGAGAACTATGTTCTTATCTCAGGATAAATATGCAGGTGAGCAGTTATTTGTTGTCCCACCCCCACCTCCACCCCCTGGCTGAACTTTTTTCTTTAACTGTGATAAAATATGTGTCACAAAAAATGCTGTTTCAGCCTGTATTAACTGGACAAGTCAATGACATTATTCAACCATCCATTTCCCCAAAAATTTATCACCTCAAGTAGAAGCCCAGTATGTCATAAGCAGTAACTCCCTCTTCTTCTTTCTTCCTCCATCCCCTTGTAATCACTGATAAAATTTTTATCTGTATGCATTTCCTCTTCTTGATATTTCATGTAAGGGAAATAATATAGTATTTGTCCTTTTGCATTTGACTTATTTCACTTAGTGTAATGTTTACAAAGTTCACCCACATTTATAGCATGTATCAGCACTTTCTTTTACAACTGAGTAATATTGCATTGAATGTATATACTGTGCTTTGTCAATTCATCTGCTGATGGGCATTTGGTTGGATGGACATTAGGATTTCCTTTACCCAGGAGAGGTCTTGAAATAGGTTCTTGTGTTCGCTCAGAAAAGAATTTGAGAGACCACACACAGACACACCACACGTCCTTTTACATTAACAAGCAATAGCAAGTTTATTTAAGTGAAAGTACACTCCCAAAGGGGTAATAATGGGCTTACTCCTATAGAGGGAGCAGCCTTGAGCTCTGTACAACAGTCTTTTTATACCATCAAAATAGTAGGAGCTGTATTTGGGCAGGAAATAAGCTTCCTTATATCATTCTACCAATACCATTCCTTCTTCTGTTTTCTTTCTTTATATAGCTAAACTTTCTGGTTCAGCCATCTTAACTTTCCCATGATCCTCCTTTATTGCCCACCAGGAAGATCAAAACCACAGTGCTAATTCATTATAATTTATTATAATGGCTATAAGGTCAAATTGGCTCAAATCCAAGGACACAGAAGTTGCCCTCTGCACACGTCTGAGGTGTACCTGCTACTCATCTTCTGTGGTGTAAGTTGAGGTTATCTTTACCTTCTTGTCTTATCTCTAGCTTCCTGCCTTGGAAGGATTTCTGCTAGGGCTTTTTTTCCCACACTCTGTTGATCCCTTCTCAAGCCCCCTGTTCTTGCCTAACTAACTGCCTACTCTATCGATAGTTATTTTTACCTTTTGGCTGTTACAAATAATGCTGCAGTGAACATTAGTGAACAAGTATCTGTTTGCATCTCTACTTTCAAATGCTCTGTTTTCATCATTTCTTTTAGGTTTTGATATCAGCCTTCTCCCACCTATTCTATATCATCCAGAAGTGCCTGCCTTATATCAGCCAGTGGTGTTGTAAATTTAGTTTCATATTTCTTCTTCCATACCAGTGTAATTTTAAGTGGAAGTAGGAGTAAAACAGCTGTGTGCATGTATGTGTATGAATATATGAACATACATGCAGGTATTTCCTACCTCTGTTGTTCTAGAGGAAGTTCTGGTAGTGCAGTGCCTAAGGCATTTGACTGCTAACCAAAGTGCTGGTTTTCAAACCCACTAGTCACTCCTCAGAAGGAAGGTTGAGGAATCTACTTCCATAGTGATACTGCCTCGGAAAGCCAAGGAGGGGTTGCTATGAGTTGGATCCAACTCGATGGTGAAGTGTCTATTCATGTCTTCTGCCCATTTTTTAATTGGGTTGTTAATCTTTTTGTTGTTGAGGTGTTGAAGTTTTCTATAAATTTTAAAGATAAGTCCCTTGTCAGATACTTCATTACCAAATATTTTTTCCCAATCTGTAGGTTCTCTTTTTACTCTTGGCAATGTAATTATCAACAGGTATGAATTTGTTGCTGTCATTTTGTTATGTGCTTTTTCATGGTGTTGGTGATTTCTTTGTTGCTTATAATTTTCTGTGCTGAGCTCATTTTGTTTATGAGTTGTGTTATCACATCCTTCTCTGCTGTTGTTTTAGTATTTGCTAAATATTTGTGCTGGTCCTCTTTTTTGTTTTGATGTGAAGCTTTGCCATTTTTCTTTGAAGTTACCCTGTGATTTTTTATTTTCTTCCCAAGTTTAGAACAGTCCATTCTGTCTTGCAGTTCTCTTGACTTTCCTACCATTTAGAAGTTCTGTAACTACACAGGTTTTCCCCTCATTTTGGTTTGTTGTCCTCATTTGTCAGTTGATATCTTTGGTTCCCAATCTTGTGGGCTTATTTCCTTTGGATACTTCCATAACTGTTGGTTTCTGGCTTATGTCATCATGTGTGTTAATGGTCAGTTGTTGTCTGCTGTTGTTGGTTTGCTGCCCAGAGGACTCCCTTTGGCATCTCTTGTAATGTTGGTCTGGTTTTAACAAATTTCCCTAATTTCTGCATATCTGGAAATGTTCTAATTTTGCTGGCTATATAATTCTTGGTTGGAAATTTTTTGCTTTCAGGGTTTTGTAAACAGCATCCCATTGTCTTCTCACCTGCATAGTTTCTGCTGAGAAATCCAAGATTAGTCTTATTGGTTGCCCCTTGTAGGTAACTTTTTGTTTTTCCTGTGCTGCTTTCAGGATTCTTTCTTTCTCTTTGGTTTTGGATGATGATATATTTTGGTGATTTTCTTTTGGGGTCTGTCCTGTTTGGGGTTCATTGAACTTCTTGAATGGATATATTCTCATCTTCTATCATACCAGGGAAACTCTCTTCCAACAAATCTTTGACAATTTTATCTGTAGTTTTATTTGTCTCTTCCTGTTCTTGAATTCCGATTACATGCAGGTTGGTCATTCTTTTGATGGTATCCTACATCAGCCTTAGCCTTTCTTCATTTTGTTTTTATCTTTTTTCTGATTGCTCTCATTCCAAAGAAGTATTGAGGTATCCGTCTTCAATCTCACTACTTCTGTCTTCCATTGATTCACTTCTACTCCTTTGCCCATGCAATGTCTTCCTTGTTTCTGAAAATTTAGTATTAGTCTTCTGGATTTCTGTCTGTAGATTTTGTATCATTCCTAATTTTTCATTTATTTTGTCATTTTGTTCTTGTATTGTCTTTCGAAATTGTTCTAGGTTTTTGTCAGTGTTTTCCTTGATCTGTCTCTCAATCTGTTGAAGGTTCCTGAATATAATTCTTTTGAATTCCTTATCAGGGAGTTCCAATTCTGCTTCTTCCTCAGGGATGTGTTTTGGGTTTGTATCCTGGTCCCTTGTTTCTCTTGCTTTGTCTTGCTTCTTTGTGTGGAGCATAATGCTCTGTTGTCTCCGAGACATTGTGACATTTTTTGTGTTTATATTTAATTGATGATTGTATGTTGGTGTGACTTGCCCGTGATTTTTATTTTCTTTGTTTGCTTGTATGTTATCTACGTAAGCAGGGTACTGTGCTCCTCTTATTTGCTAGTTGGCAACACTTATACACTCACCACCTGTCTCCTTTCCTGTTGTCAGCCTCCCATGTGTCTCTGCCGTCCTTGGTAAACATAGCCTATTAGGTCCCTGGAATCCGAATGAGAATGCTGTCACTTAAAAAATCCTAAATGGCCACCACTTGTAAACATTCAAAATGGCTGTACCCCTGGTCACTTTAAATATTCACTGTGGATGCCACTTATAAACAGTCAAAATAGTTGCACGCTCTGGACAGCCGAAATTCCACTGCTCAGGTTGTCTCCCTCCTTGCCGTTTCCCTTCCTAGTCATAGGCCAAGAGCGCAGTCATCCCCACAGCCCTTGGTGACCAGGGCTGATCTTTAAGTCAATTATCAGGTCCCAACACCACTTGGAAGTATTCAGGCTGTTGGTGCCATCCGAGTAACTGACAGTCTGCGGTTCTGTCCATCTTGGTACTCACTGTTTTCATTCAAGTTTTTTTATTAGTTGGTGCCTAACCCACTTCTGTATACTTCCTTTCAAAGCTCAGGGCTCCAGGGTTATCTTCTGTATCACTGTCAATTGGTTTCTCTTTTATTTGTTGAAGAGGGTCTGTGTAGCTTGTCTGCCTATTCTCACTGTCTTACTGGAAGTCTCTTATTATCTTTTGTATATGGTTAGCTTTTTGTGTGCTGGTCATTATACTTGAAAAATATACGTATGGTTGATTGTAGGCCTTTCAGAGGTGATTTTAGCCTTTTGTTACAAAGCATCTGAGGAGGCTACTAGTCTGGAATCACTATAATCCAAATTCAAGGCTTTATGTTTTCTGTACTCTATTGATAGTACATGTACTAGGTGATGACAGGAAGTGGGGCTGCAGGTCTATACCTGAGTTCATGTAACCCTTTGGCTGCCAGCTTAAACATGTTGTAGTTGAGGGGAGGTAGCCAGTCAACAACTTAACTTTTGCTGCTCGTTTTTTGTGTGGCAAAAACAACTTTGAGTACTCAGCTTACCCCTTTGAGTTCTTGCTTTATTTTATGTTCTTGCCTTTTGAGCTTTTCATACTTTTAAAATTCTTTTCATATTTTATTCATATTTTTAAACTTTTCTCTACATAGTTGATCTTATTTACCTAACAGCTATTAATGAAGACCTAAATCTTTTCCTTTAGTTTGCATTTTTTCTTATGTTTGTTTGCTTTTTGTAGGTTCTTCATGAAACATTTCCTCAACACACATTCCTCATGAATGGCCTCATTCAAGGTGTAAAGGTAAGAGTTATTTTTATGTGGTTTACAGTGAACCAAAGCAAGGCACTGGTTTGTAGTTTAATTCTGGAAGTTTAAGCAAGACTTAGGGAAATGATTACTACTTGTTCTAGAAACCTAAGTCTACATTCTTAGCTGGGTTACTAAAATCAAATCAAACAACACAAATCAATAAACCATAGAATGGTTTACTGGTTAAATGCAGTGTGAATACTTTATAGGACTTAGTTCATTGTTATTAACATGTACACAGTAGTTTATAAAGCTTTCAATTCTTATATGAATTTCTAATTAGTTTGCCTTTCAACTGAATAAGGTAGGCTAATGCTACCAACCTCTTTTTAGATAGAGATTTTGAGATTGAGAAAGAAAGAAGCATCATGAATTAATTGGATGTATATATAGTCTTTTGGCAAGTCTGGTGTTCTAGTCCCAGCTTACTGAGTCTTCAACCACTTGACTTAATTAGCTTTAATTCATTATTTAAATTTAAATGTGAACTTCTATCAGAAAAGTTTATAAATAAGGGCATAAAATATAATGGTATGTTCCCGACCTGCTTTATAGTAATATATATGGATATAAAGTCTAATTTCCCAGCTTAGATAATGTCAGGCTGTTCTTAATTTTACTTTGTGCTGAACAGCACATTTAAGTGTACGTTTGGGTTGTTTCTGCTTGTTAACTATGGTAAATCATTCTGCTATAAATATTTGTGTGTACAAGTTTCTTTGTTGACAATTGATTTTACTTCTCTTAAATAGATTTGCTGGGTCATATATAAGGAAGGTTGGGCAATCCTACTTCCGTAGTGATACTGCCTCGGAAACCCAAGGAGGGGTCGCTATGAGTCAGGGCTGACTCGACGGCACATAACA